GACGAGCTAGGGTATACGGTTTTCGGCTGCCATGTGGCTATTTTGCCAGGATATGAGTTTGATCAATAGTGTCCTGCTTTACCATTGTTAAAATCTGGTCACCTTATTATAGCTCTCTCCATTGCCATAACTCTTGGAGCTGGAATCTGGCAGGAGAGGAGGATTGGAGGTACAAAGGACTTGGGCTGGCACAGGAGGGCCTCTTCGTCCTCCGGGCTGGTGATAGGTGATAGGGCATGTGTTGGACCTTGGTTGGGGGGAGTCGCTGCTCCCTGTCTGGAGTGGGTCTCCCTCCTGCACTAGCTATTGTGACCAGCACTTGTCCTGCGAAATCCGGAAATGACTTTTCCCTAAGGGCAGAATTCACCTCCTTCTATCTGGGCGGGTTGGGCAGCCCGTGCTGCTCCCACAGACGCAGAAGCTGCTGGGTCTAGCACCGTCTTGAGCACTGTCAGCGCCATCCTGGAGCGGCCAGACTGGGGGGACAAGGAAGGTTGAGGGTGTTGTTTCCTCCTACTTCCCAAACGCGAGCTGCCCCCTGTGCTGAGCCTGGAGGCATCTGGATAATTTCTGGGCATAGATTGTCCAGCGCAGGCCCTGGGGTGGGGTGAGGGGAGAACGGCTTCAACATAGTCACCCCAAACCAACTCGGAAGCCCAGGAGTCTCACTGCTGCCACATCCCTATCCCCGCCTGCGCAGACAAACGTAAAGCACAGTTGCCACCCCCCAAAGTGTCTCCTCTCCAGCGGGACCCCAGCACACCCAGTCCCAGTCCCCAGCGCTGGACACAGACGCCTAGGGTGGCGGCGTCCACTGGCACCCGATGGCACAGTTTGCAGCAGGCGTTCGCTCTGCCTCCCGAAACCCGGCTCGCGCGCCCTCCCGGGGCCCCCTCCGGCAGGCCTGGGTGCTCAGGCGCGGCCGCCTCCCTGGGTGCCCCGGGGCCGCGCAGGACTCCCCGCTCTCCGCCCAGAATTCGTTGGGCCGGAATCTCGCCCAGAAGAGCAGCGTATCCCGCGTCAGCCGAGCGCGTCTGGGCGCAGAGGGGCCTGGCCCACGGCGGGAGGACGTGGGGTGGGGGCCGGAGGGAAGGGGCCTGAGAAGGGTCACCGCCGGGCCAACAAGCCCCAGGTCTGTCCGGAACTCGGGAGTTTTCGAAAGCCTTCACCGCCCGGCCTTCCAAGGTGCTTGCCGGAAATGATAGATCAAGATACAAGTCGTTAAGAACAGAAACCGACGCATTAAGCAAATGCGTGTGAGTGTGTGTAAAGATAGGGGGAGAAAAGGGACAACAGACCTACCCGCGTAGAAAGTCCTGCTTCCTCCCTCGGCCTGGGTGAGACGCA